CACCAGACCATGGCGGTCAAATCATATGGTCAGGACACCAGTATATGCAGGTAAAGATCTGTGATCATCAGACCATGGCGATCAAACCATATGGTCAGGACACCAGTATAATCAGGTAAAGATCTGTGATCACCAGACCATGGCGGTCAAATCATGTGGACATGACACTAGTATAATCAGGTAAAGATCTGTGATCACCAGACCATGGCGGTCAAATCATGTGGACATGACACTAGTATAATCAGGTAAAGATCTGTGATCACCAGACCATGGCGGTCANGGACACCAGCATAATCGGGTAAAGATCTGTGATTATGAGACTATGGCTGTGAAATTGTGTGAACAGGACAATGGTTTAATCAGGTTAAGATCTGTGATGGTCAGACTTTGGCTAAAAATCATCGTCAGGAAATACCTTCGTTTCTCTCTATCAATTTGGTCTACAGTGACTCTATCTATTGTTTCCGCGCCTTTATGTGTTGTATCAATTTGTTTCATCGTTTATCAAAGATGTTATCTATAATTTGATGGGTTGCAGGAGATGTTTGGCAGCAGGCCTCTTCATGAATGCTGCAGAACTGCAAAGGGAAGGAGATGTGTACATTTCAGTAAGTTACTCTAAAGCTATTTGAAGTTTAAATAAAGTTTTTATCATTTTTTTAAATTTATGCTTGCATAGCAACTATATTATTGTCATGACAGAGAGTGATTGAATTTGATGATCAAACGAGACATTGTAACAATTTTTATAGGATTAAGTAATACAAAAATTTAGCTACGGCATTGAAGCTTGTGTATATTACATGTACTTTCGTTCATTGTTGACTTGTTGTTACATCTTATGTAAAAATATCTTGTGTATTTTTAGCCCATCATCAAATAAAAGCATTATTTGACATATTACAATAATTTTGTGTTTTCTTTCTCTTTTCAAGATATTTTCAAGATTCATACAATAACAAATATTTTTTCCCTTACTTTCAAAGTTAACAACACGAGAGCCAGTTCATATTCATCCATCATCAGCATTGTTTAGATGTAAACCTGCTTGTGTTGTTTACAACGAGCTCGTCAAAACATCAAAGTGTTACATGAGGTGAGTCTGAAGTATTCTATTTTGGGTTACAGTATAACCTGTCTGTACTGATCCACTGTACAATCTAACAACCTGTATAAACAGAACCATCAACTAAAGTCAGTCGTATACATTTATTGGTAACAGATCATGTGTAATTCTGTTCTACTATGTACAGAAATGTTTTGATCATTTCTGGCCAAGGTAAGTGT